ATTCTTCCCATTCCCAAACTTCTTTAATCCATTGTTGTAAAGGAACTTCTCTACTTAATGATTTTTGAATAAATGGATGACCAAGCATTTGCTTTGGTGTTGGTCTTTGTTCACCATCTTTTTCCAGACTTTTTAAATACATAATGTATTAAAATATCATTTAAGATGCTAAATTATTATGAATTATAAATATAAATAAAGTGAATAATCTCAATTACCAAACTTTCAAAAAATCTCTAAGTTCATTACTCCATTCGTATTCATCACCTAGCACAGGTGCTGGTAAGTTGACTATATGTGCAACTAATTCAATTGGAGCAACAGTAGGATAAGGAAATCTATTTTGTGCGACCTCCATTATTGTCAATCCTAAAGACCATACATCAGCTGATACTTTATATTTTTGACCTTTAATACGTTCAGGCTAATGTAACATTAAGATATTTGATAAAATCTTTTCGACAATTAAAAAATTTTCATGATTTATCTAAATAATTTACTTACGGCCATATAATAACTAGTACCCAAAAAAGTGTTGACAGATGATGATTCTAAAACACCTGACACTCCAAAATCGCAAATTTTTATTTCACCGAGTCTTGTTACCAAAATATTAGATGGCTTTATATCTATTTGAATTAAAAAAACAAAAAAATTTGCATAAATATATGTAATACCATTTAATTCAGAATATAAAGTCAAGTAAATAGAAACCAAAATTTGTTTTTAAAACTAAAATGATTCAGTAAAAATTCTAGTCATTTAATGAATTTTTTGTTTAAAAATCATTTATATAAATTTGATCAAATTCTTGTTGAATCATTTTTTGTTCAAAGTTTAAAACAAAAAACAAACTTTATAAAAAATTTGTTGGATTTTATTGACTCACCCCCGTATTAAAAAAAAACTTACCCCTATGGATAATATGTTGTTCATAGAGATAAACCAATCCTTTCAATACCTGATAAGAACAATAACAAATTAATTAAAAAAAAATTAAGAAAAGGAAAGATTAAAAAGGTTATATAAAATACAAGGATTTTACCGATTCTGCGATCTTTCCCAAGATCGGTTCACCAATTGTTCCTTGTCTTTGATTAACATGTTTATAAATTACATCTAAACTTCCACCCTCGCAAAATTCCATAAAGATAGCAATTGAAGAATTATCATCT